AATACCGGGAAAATACTCTTTTCCGTTCTTGTCCACCAAATCGGTAAAGTTCTTTTTCGAGAATTCTTCGAATCCCGCACCTGCCGCTGACTTCTGCGCCATTATCGATGTGAACGCAGTGGATGTCGCTGAGACTCCGTACATAGGTCCAATAAGATCTCTGGATCAAGATTTTGTTACGTGAGATATTGGCAAATAAATTAATGAGATAAATATTGAATTAATAGATATCTAATATAAGAAATGATAAGTAGTTCGCGTATTAATGATATGACGAGGTCAACTTGTTAGTAAAATAAGTACAACCTTGATCTATATGGAATTTGTTAAACTCTATATTCTTAAAAATATTAACTGTAACTTTTAACATTTCGTCATAATATTAAATGTATAATTATAACGTTAAGAAAATTAAGAAAGATCAAGGCTGATAGATAATCTGCATCATTCAAATACGAAACTCTTTAAAAAAATATAGAGAAGCTATATATATACTTTGCCTTGAAAATATTTTATGTAATCTTAAAGAAGTTTGGACTGTGGAATGGCAAAAAATCGATAATTTACTGAACTGTTCAATTTTCTGTGAACTAATATTTTAACACAAGTTATACCTGATTTTCAAAATATCTTTGCCTAATCCGTATCCTCGGTAATCGGGGTCTACGCTAAGCCCAATAGCATACAGATACTTGTCAACTCCGTAACGTTCGTATACCGCTTTTGTTGCACTAGGAATGATGTCGAACGTAATTTTGCATTTCTCTGACTTATACTGTAACAATTATCTATGCCAACTTATTGTTAATTATATACGTTGCGATAATAGTGCTTAATAACGCATACAGATACAGAGAAAACAAAAAAGCTCCTTGACGCAATAGGTACGCGGAGTGCGCTATTAGCGCTACTTTGCATCATTCTATCTTTGTCGCTCATTAGATGTTAAAACAAACAAAAAATAGCAATAGCGTATTAAGGGGGGAAAACTAAGTAGAAGCACGAAAATATGCGATTTTTTGAACAATTTTTTTAGAGGTAATAAAATAATTGCATCAATTTCAATTTTTGGCATACTTTA